ATTCTGATGATTTCCATCTTTGTTTTGGCATCCGACAACATCTGCTGGGCCTCAGCAAGCATCTTCTTGTCGCGGAAATTTCCACTACTGTACATGTTTATCATGTTCTCAGCTCCCTGTTTTACCTGCAGAAAATATTGGTCATAGGTACTTAAGTCTCAATTTTTAACTGAATTTCTTTCTAGATACATGTACATTCGAGTTTTGAGGATTCCAATCGCATAAGATACTTAAATTCAGAAATCACCAACTGTATTATGTGAATTAGTTTTTATAATGAATAGATTATTATTTTTCAGGGCAAAAATTAGCTAAAAGTAAGAATTTATCACTTTTTGAAAGTTTATTCTTTTTAGAAATAATCCAAGTCAAATGCAAATCTTGTTGATCTGTCAGTATCTGTACGTATCAAAACAAATTTACCTTGTTCTCAATCTCATACTGCTTTTCTAGAGAGGTAAGTCTCTGAGAAACGGGGTCCATGTCAACAGCATCCTTATCCCTGTCATCTGTAAACATCAGTCATCACATGATTACTCATTTATACACTGGATATAGCTCAGGTGATATTGTTTTTATATCAACAGTGGTTTTCACAATTGTTTTTCCGTAAAGTGATGAATTCAAATGGAATCACATACGAAAACAGTGTAAAACATGTTATAGCTAAGTGTAAAATAATGGTACAAAGAATCTGCCATTAGTTATCCAACTCAATGTGTGTTTTCCATCTCTTTGCAAAGGCTCAGGGATAGAAAACATGGAACTTGTTGGATAATGACCATACCCTACCACAAACCATGGAAGATTCTACATATATACATCACAATAATTCACAGAGAAGGAACAAATACATTTTAATTAGACATATATATTGACAGGTTCTAGGATCAGTATAATATTATCTACAGTGTGATGGGTCTTTTAGTGAAGAACATTTTAGCCTTCTGACACTTGCATTTTATGAGAAAAAGTAGATGTTCCTATTCGGTATCACTGTATTTTCCTCTAAGAGTCTCAAAAAGAATTGTACATCTATCACGTCTATTGGGATTTAATTTTCTTAATGTCACAAACAGGAAGAAAGTTGTTCCTTATACACAATTAAAGTCAAATACATATAGAGGAAGATGACAGCTCCATCAATACCGAGACTTAGCAATGATCCAAAGTTCTGAGCTAATCAATAAATACAGGCCAGACTGACAGATACAATAGGTGTACCTCATATAGATAAGCCATTCATTTTTGTTGTTGACAAGAGGTAAGATTCAGAAAAACTATTTACAGGTGTTTTATGTTCCTAGTGGTAGGTGAACACGCGGCGATTTTAAGTAGTTCAAGTAGCAGTAAAAACTGGAAGTAGAATATCTAAAACACTTATAGGGATGCGGTAAACATTTCAAGGACCTATAAGTAGTTTTCATTTGTTTTAGCGTCATCTAGTTTGTACAAATATATAAGATAAAAGAATTTAAAATTTTAACAATGAACACACAAATGCAATCTCAACATCTTATTCAAAAAAAAAAAATGTAAATGGCATCCCACTGGTCAAAAATACACGATTTTGGGAAATAACAAACTAACTTCTGTGATCTACATCAATGAACATGTATCATTTTATGAAATTCTATCTGTGGTTCACTTTACTTATATGATTTATGCTACATGTTCAATGTAAATATCAAACAACATAGAATCTTCCTGTAAGGCCTAGAAAAAAGATATGTTTGTTTTCACTTTCCCGACTGACCCTTATTCATAATGCCGACCCTAATCTTTTTTTAAAATGCTTTTGTCATCATTGTTATCTTTATGCCTTGTTTTAAGAAGTCAAGCAGAATTTAAAAAAAAAATGCCTACCTACCTACCTAATTTTTTTTCAGCCTGAAATCGGAAACATATTTTATCTAGGCCTAATGCGAACAATCTTTAACAAGAAAATTTACAACCACAAATTGCACAGTTCTTGTTATTTCCAAATTTGTGAAATTTCCTATCTGTTCTCTTATGTTTACCCCTTCCCACCTTTACAGGTATGTTCTTGTGGCTCAACTTTTGTATTCAATGAATAAAACTGAACTCTCGAGCTCTCCATATTGAGATTACCTGACAATGCATCATGAACACTTGTACTATTGGACACTAGCAGATAGGCATTAATTTCCTGGAGATCATTCTGGAGTTCCTTTAGCTTGTTATTGGACTTCTTCACGATACTCTGAACATCTGACATACTTTTCTTGTCCGTTGTCACTTCCCTTAATTTCTCTGCCCCCTCTTTGATCTTCATTTCTTTTCTTATCTCCTTTTTCAGATGCTCTCTCATTTCATCGAGTCTTTGTTGTAGATCATTTTCGGTTAAGTTTGGATCAAACCCAAATCTTTTCCCAATTTCTGTGTAGGAGTTGACCATGGCACCTCCCTGTGTAACCAAAATGTAAAAATATAATTACTCAACTTAGAATTATCAAAATGAAAACATATATGAAAGCATTTAAATTCAAAATTTATATGTCAAATATGTGAACACATTGTGTAATTTGTGATGCAATGGAATAATAGAAATTTATCTTCATTTAACACTTTGACCCCCTGATAATTTAAAGCCTACTTTAAATTCTACAAAAATCTGTTCTCCCAAGTACACCATCAATGTGATTTTACCCCCAAACCCCAAATCTTCACAGGTTCAATGTCATATATTAGGCTAAATCTATGGTAGCTAGAAGTAGAATGTAATACTGACAACAGTTCACCGGACTAGCATTGGAATTTGTCCTTATTTATATCTGATTATTCATTATTCAGCCATTTTCTATCCTCAATGTTCAACATAATTCAGGGATTCTGAGAAGTCTGACTTTAGCAAGGCACATGTATTAACATGACAAAATCAATTACAGAGAATTTGAATTAGGCTTAGACTGAAAATGTAGAAATTTATGCATGAAGTTTATTCCATAAGCTTTATTCATGTACAGAAACATTCTAGTATCTGAATTTTCTCACTGTAACAACTTCTCTACATTGTAAATCCTACAGAGGATTGTGGGCATCATGGAAATGAATTCACATTTTAAGTTTTTCCTATGAATTCATGTAATATTAAATGTGCAGGAATTCCATGATTATTGTATAGTGTTTTATGTATGCAAAAACCTGAATTCCTAAAGATTAAAAAAAAAAAAAACAGAAAAAAGAAAAGAAAAGAAAACAAATAAAAAAACAAAACCAAAAAAAAAAAATAAATAAATAAAGAAACAACATCATCAAACGTCACACTAAAAATAAGTATCTTGGAATTTGAATCATCAACCTTTTCTTGTTTGTATAAGTATGGGCTTTTATAATAAATACATGTATTCACATATGTACACAGTAACATCAAGGAAATATTATAGAAAATTTAATTGGTAACATATTTACAATGTATTTACTTCTATCATGTAATTTTTCCTGCTCTCTAACATTATCATGTTTATGTGTAAATATAATTGAATATTATTTTTGCAAAATTATTGTATAATACTGGGGATTAAAAACTCTCATGTATCTGACAGTGTCCTATAAACATTAGAATACTTCATCTGATTATGCCACTTCCTTGTCACAATGTAAATAGTTCAACAAACAGTTCTTTATAGTATGTTTAAAATGAAGACATGAGTATAATGTTACTCAAATCAACTTTAGTTTTCTTATCTTATCTGCATTATTTTTTTGTGTTTTCTGCTTCCTCATTCTGTATTGCACAGAAAATTATAAGTGATATTAAATCTTAAACAAAACAAAAAAACCCCCAATGTATCATTGATATTATCAATAAATTTCTGTACAATATTTTTCTCTACAATAAACAGTCATACTCGGTAGTAATTGTAAGGTTGTTTATCGTTAGTTTAACGTTATCAAATAGAGGTTAAAAATCTGTCAACAACACTGTATACACAATGATCTTGAAGAGACTTCTCCGATTACCCAACTGTCACTTTTACCTTTATCTGATAATATTCAACCTGCAATGCAAAAGTTGCACTTTCTTAGTAGCATGTGACTCAAGATTTAGGCCTTGCCCCAAATCTATTTGACTCATCTATAATTGAATACTTATTTGGTTACTATTTGATAGGTTATGTAATTGTGTGTCATGTTAATTGAAGTATTAAAATAAAAAAACAAAACAAAACAAAATTGTATACCAACTTTAGCAAAGAGCATATGAGACTTCAATGGGTTTTATGGTCAAAACTGTATCAACATGAGAATCTTTTGAAGCATATACTTAATAAAATATACTTCAAAATCCAAGGACATGAAATTATTCTTAATATAACTTGCAATGTTTCCTGCTTAAAAGTTGATTTTAGTGTGGAGAAAGATATGCATCATTAACAACATGCACTTTTGAATGCTGGACCTGTTTAAAGGTTACCAGTGCAATAAACAGCCATATAAAAAGGAATGGTCAAAGGGTGGAGTCGCCTCTATCAAAACGGGCTCCTGGGAAACTATATTTACATTTGACTGTTACTCTCTTACTTACATTGTTTACTTACTTACTTCTTAATCAAACCACTAATTACAGACTAGTGATTACTTACCTGATAGTAGGAGGTGCCCGAGTCTGTCGCCATCTTTGTTGTTTTTCTGACAAGGAAATGAGTTTCCGAAATGGAAATTATCTTACGCAACGAAACCTCTTCCCTCGATGTCGGATTTTATTCAAGAAACCGTCAATTTTGTATTTTTCATTTCATGCATAATTTTCATATAATATTAGCCTAATAATTTATGGACGCGAAATGTATTTCATCTTCTTCTATGCCTCTTGGTCGACATTTTTTTCCCAACAATCCGACATGAGAAACCACGTGACAATGTCACAAATTAAATACACCAATCGTAGTTAATCTTATAGGAAAGCTTTGGTTTCGGCTTTTTCGCACGTGGGCCGAGTCAACACAACAAACGAAGAGTGTGCAAAGATACTGTGTTTTTTTTCTTAAGTTTTTTTTTACATCAGTTTTGTTACGCGGTATACTGGAAAGTAAGATTTTGTAAAAAAGCGTTAATGTAGTTACCAAAGCTGTCTTGGTCAGTTTACGGATAGTGATATTGGCGGGAAAATTTCACAATCAATTGGATTGATGATGATTCATTGACTTCTATGACTAATCAGAAGCCTACACAGTAGAGAGTATCATGTGCGGGCGGACTGCATGGTATTTTGTCATTAGATATTTTACGTGTGTACGATACGTCATGACATGTTAATTTTTTTTTAAAAGCTAGAACTATGCAGTAGGTCAATATTAATGACATCACAGTGCCATGGCTTTGGACATGCGGACATGACATCATATTGTAGCCAAATTTAATGTTGGTAAAAAGCTGAAGCATTGTAAACAGTCAATTATTATATAACCAACCCACAGGCACTTGTTTCTGTAATAAAATTTTGACCCATAACATAATAACACAAGGTATCCAACTCCAAATTACACGGAGTATCCCCTCCCTCAGAATCACACTCATTTACAATTTCAGAGGACATGCAATGGCAAACTGTTTATACCTGTGTCTTCTACAATAATTTATCTACACAACCAAATATGGCATGCTTGTCTTTATTTTCTTTTATTTCCATAAACAGCATCAAACTCTGCTCGCCGAGTGGAAAAGTCGAATTCAACCATGAAATGGTATGTGCTAATCCTAGACAAAGAGCAGAATTAAAAAGTGAGTGGATTTAAAAATTCAATTCCAGTGTTTAAATATTGCAGTGAATAAATAATATATGTTTAACTCTCATTTTCCATAAAAACACTATAATATTTTTCCGATGTAATTTTAGAAACAGATTTTTAGCCAATCAAAATCTCTGCCCAGGATTAGCACATACCATTCTATGGTTGAGTTTGACTTTTGCACTCGGCGAGCAACGTTTTGACACTGTTTACGGAGATTAAAGACAAGTATGCCATAAATGGTTGTGTAGATAAATTATCGTAGCAGACATGGGTATAAACAGTTTGCCAGTGCATTTCCTCTGAAAGTGTAAATGAGTGCGATTCTGGGGGGGGGGGGGGGGTACTTCATGTAATTCGGAGTTGGATACCTTTGTGTTATTATTATACTATGGGTCAAAAATTTATTAAAGAAACAAGTGCCTGTGGACCAACCCCAAACCCCCACCTACCACATATTTAAAATAATGTGGAGCACTGAATAAGCTAGTGCTATACAGAACTAAATTAATTAGCTCTCTGGAAAAGTTTGGACAGATATGCATCAGAGAGCTAGACCCTCACCGATATGCAAGTTTCAAGATTATCTCCCTTGGTACACTCTTTCATTGCGGAGGGGAGTTTTGTTTTTGCCTAAACAGGCAGGTGGGACAGTTATTTATATTGGATACGTTAAAACATCAATATACCGGTCTATCACAACTGATTTTCGGTATGCACTCAACTAAAAAATAACAGAATTTATCTATAGGCCTCATTTTTTTCTACCAAGAAAAAAAAAAGAACAGAAGAAAATATCAGCAGATATAAGACTTATCAGACAAGGGAAAAGGATATCTAAAATAATACATATACATATGATCATTGTACATTGGCATTCTGAAAGACACAGATTTTTTTTCTCTTTTTATAATTTCAAAGAACTTGCTAACTTTTTAAAAAAGGTTTGTACATTCAAAGAAGTGTCTTTTTCACAAAGACTATGGCAGTTCTTTTGTTTTCAAGTATTCTTAGACTAATTGAAAGTAGATTTTGTAAAACACATATAGTAGACAGTGTTCCAAGTCACACTTATTAGCAAGTCGCTAAATGTCAACCCAAATTTTTTTTTGGTCAACATTTCAGAATTTCTGGTCGCCATCAACAGATATTTCACTTGCCATGGTGAATAATTTTGTGAATAACACATTTAGTATATTAAAAAAGCAAGGAACAAATACTCATATATGTACATATTAAGCAGGAGAACTGTAGCATTATGGTTTTGTATTTTAGTTTTTGACCATAATGCTACAGATCCCATAATGCAAATATGGTGCAATTTACAGCACAAGATTTTCTGTGCACTTTGGGGATGTATCTCGCTAGGGGTGAAACGATACACCTCCTTCACGGTTCGATACGTATTGTATAATTTTGTCTCGGTTCGGTTATTTTCGATACGATACATTTTGATAGAAGGAAACAAATTCTACGTTGTTTTATGCTTTCTTTTTCTAAATCTAGTCATATATTTTATGAATTTTATTTGCAAATTGACTAGAAGAAATTGATTAAAATTATTTGACTGTCAAAAATTATTTTACAAGCTATCAGTCATCAAAAATTTACGTTTTCTATACTTATTTATACTGAGTAACGTATTATACCTTATGCCAAACCCAACTGTATAACGATCCCGACCGAAAAATGAACCGAACCGAAAGTTAGAGATTTTGCACCGTGTATCAAACCGAGAAAAAATACCGCTGTGCATCGATACTGCGGTGAACCGTTTCACTCCTATATCTCGCCACTTTCCAGCATTTGTCAATCAACTATCTTTCATTACCTAATTCTAGACATGTTCTATAACTAATCTGTATATTTTTCCATCTCCTTACCCTTTCTAGTCGTCTCTACAGACCAATAAACTCGCTGATAAATTTTATGCCATCCCACAACAAATTCACAACGAGAGAGGTTATGACCCCCCAATGGTTTGGGGGGGGGGATAACAGAGGGTCAAAGTTTTACATAAGAATATATAAGAATTATCTTGAATAGATGTAGATTCAAAATTGTTCAAATTTAGGATGGGTAGGGTGGGGCCACAATGAGCTGTCAGAGTTTTACAAAGGAATACATAGGGAAAAAAATCTTTAAAAATCTTCCTTTCAAGAACAGCAAAGGCATGATAGTAATATTGGTATGCTGATATCCTTAGGTAGTGTAAATTTAAGGCCCCCCCCCTTCCCTCCCTACTTGTTCAATACTGAACTGATTCCTGCTTCTTCCTAGCCAGTGGCTCAGTCGGTAGAGCGCTCGCTCCGTGATCAGGAGGTCGTGAGTTCGAATCTCGGCCGCGACAGACCTAAGTCAATAAAAAATAGGTAGCAACTGTTCCTTCGCCATGCGCTCGGCACTTTGGAGTGAAAGTTGTGGGTCTTTCGGATGAGACCTTAAAAACCGAGGCCCCGTGTCAAGGCAGGCGTTGGCACGATAAAGATCCCTCACTGCTCAATGGCCCTGAGTGCCGAGTAAAGGTCAAAATTTGAAGCCCTTCACCAGTATATGGTGACGTCTCTATATGAGTGAAAAATTCTCGAATGGGACGTAAAACAATATACAATCAATCAATCAATCCTAGCCAGTGTGCACATCTGAGCGATGTGGCCCATGGGCCTCTTGTTTAAATTAAAGATTACTTATTACTTTGACTAAACTATTTGCTAGGCTGAAGAAACCACTTATGAAATACAATGTATTGTTATTACATAGAACCATCCGTATGATTGTACACTGAAGAACACAAGTGATTGTATCCTAGAATTAAAGTTGTATCAAATGAAATTGCTACAAGTTTGACTGATGTGTGCAGCAGTTTGAAACTTTGAGAAAGGACTGTCAGCTGTTTGACGTTTACTTTTTTACTATGTACCTAACCTATTACACAGTTGCTGTTATTATTGCCAAATCTTGATGATATTCAAGCAATATTGACCAAATCTCCATTAACAAGGTCATTTATTAGAAAGTCTTTGACATTTGGCAGCCGTTCTATACAGCATGCCTTCATAACATTATGTAATCTCAGTCTTTGCGACACTTTACAAAGTATTAGGAATGTCTTCAAACATTTTCTTGATAGAAAATCTTAGGAAAAAATTAATCTTGATCCCGATCATAAAAATGGACAATCACTGTCCCAAATTTTCTCGGTCGTGAAAATGCGAGTTGGTTTTAATTTCTAGTTGCAAAATTAATTTTTTGGTCGCAAATGCGACCATTTTAGTCGCAACTTGGAACACTGAGTAGAGCTCAATAAATTCATCAAAATCATCACTGCTGGACAATTTTTTCTTTCTATAACATTAAATGAATTTTAAAAAACCTAGCCATTGTTCATTTATTTATGCATGTTTGTGTACATCAACAACCTGTCCCACTTACAAGCCGATATGGATACTTTTTGAGCCTCTATCATTGGAGACTTACAATCTCGAAACTTGTGTAGTTATGGTGTAACTTTTTTTTGCAAGTTTCTGGTATTATTCCTTCATTATATGCCCCTTAACCTAAAACATGGTATCAATTACACATAATTTACTCTTACTCTAAGTTAATACTTTATTTATGCCTCTCTACAGTTTCAAACCACCCTAACTCTTTGGCCTTTTAATGATAATCAGTCTTTTGCTATGAAACTTCATTTGGTTTTAAATATTTGATGTATAAATAAATAAAAACACAAGGAAAACATTGCTATCTTATCTTTTATTCACTCTGGTTAGACTTTATGTTCTCTTTGCAGATGCATTAAGAACACAGAACTTACCAGTTACAACTGCATGTTTATCCACTAATTTTGTTTATAAGAAGTATTACTTTAAATACAGCTATACCCAAATTTGCCAGAAAGAAGGGGTGAGAATTAGGAGTAGATAGGATCGTGTATTCAAAAGTAACAACGACGATCACATTAAAGTATTTATTTAAAATATATCAGAAAATTTTCAGTATAAAAATTTGTTAATTGCTCCAGAAGAAATACTAACATTATTTGATAAACAGTGATAAATGAATGTACAATTCTTCAGTACATGTACATACCTAATTGGAATGCTAATGTTAAAAGGAATAGGTTTTGAAAATGAGTTCATAAGCCACTAAAGCCAGTGATATTGATGTAGTTAGAACCAAGGGGGGGGTAACAATGATCTAGAGATGCAATGCATACAGAGGAATGGCTTATCTCGACTCTCTGGAAATAGATGTGAATATATTTCCTGTTCTGATCAGACATAAATCTCCCCCATCTGAGTAGAAGTAACCCACAGCTAACATTGGTTTTCCATTACATAGATATAATACACAGATCCTCTCTCCGTGGAATTTTATGACAGGGAAGTGCTTTGGGTATGAATGTTTAGATTGGAGGAAGTAGATACAAATTAATGTTGATGGAGCTCATTAAATCTAGCTCTGTATTTAGACTGAGTAGAAGATAGGCCAATGTGACAACTTACAAGTATGCTTCTCCTTAAAAAAAAATCTTGTTCAAAAGAAGACTTTTTTTTTTTTTGCAGACAAGACAATTTTTCAATTTTGAAGTTGCAAGTTTTCTGCAGTCAGTAGTAGCATGTATCTTGTGTCACACCATCTATGAATCAGTATCCCTGCTTGTCCATATAAATAAGTTATCTGTACAACTGATCACAACATTTTTTTGCCTGATTACAAGACAGGCCTTTGGGTTGATGATATCTGCTGCTTCATTGAGTGCATTTATCTGTCCATCTATTAGCATCCACAATTTTGTTTACCCGGTAGCTATTGTTCCTATGTGACCTTTTCAGAAAACATAAAAACAGGTTGACCTTTGACTTTTGACCTTGACATTAGAGTATGACAAACATTATTTCTGTTGAGGATGATCTATTCTGTTTATTATCTTCTAAATATCACACATAAAGTAAAATAAAACATTTTCAAAAACTACTATCAGAGTTGACCTTGGCATTGACCTTGAAGTTTGTTTAATTCTGGTTGAAACATGACATTTGGTTGGATAGAAAATTTAGTTTATATCATATAACCTGTATTTCTACCTCCTATGACTTGCATAAAAAAGTATCAATCAGGCTTATGTTATGAATCTTGTACAATTTGAAGTCAAATTTCAAGAGTAATTGTCTTATTTGGGGGTTGATAAAGTGTAAACTTGCCCAGCCCAGGTTATACAGTATAACTTGGATAGGTATTAATTTATTCCTTAATTAGATGGCTTCTAACCTCACATTTGGACAAATCAAGAGATGTTTTTTTTTTGTGTGTGTTTTTTTAAAGGCTGTTAGAATTGACATTTGACCTAGTGTTAATTAAATGTGATTATTTTTTTTAAAATCCTTATTGATGATTATCTCCTCAAACTTCATACAAGTATTACATTCACTATTATTGTGATCATTGGAGGTTTACCTTATATTATAGGTGAATGAAACACATGTTTATTTCTGTTCTGGTGAATTGATTTCAAAAACATCTATTAAGATAAACTAAAAGTATTTTAGGATATATTAGAGAGGTTGAGATTTTAAAACTTGTATGCGTACGTGTACGTGTGCACAAACTTTGACGTACACGTACACTTTTTTTGTAATTTGTCTGTTGAGATTTTAATGACGTGTAACATGAACGTGTAGACTGTAATTGGTGTCTCTGTTTCAACTATTTACTAGTTTTGTGACATTAGTTTGACTTTAGTAAGTGAACAAAACATGGTTAAAATAAGTGTCCATGAAACTTAACATCCTAAATAATTAACAACAATAACAGTTTTACACAAAAATTGACAAGTTTTTATTGAAAAAGCTACAAGTTTGCACCTACATGTAGATGCCTTTTTAGCTCACCTGAGCCAAAGGCTCAAGTGAGCTTTTCTGATCAAAATTTGTCTGTTGTCTGTCGTCGTCGTTGTCGTTGACGTTGTTGTCGTTGTCATAAACTTTTCACATTTTCATCTTCTTCTCCAGAACTACTGGGCCGATTTCAACCAAATTTGGCACAGAGTATCCTTGGGTAAAGGGGATTCAAGTTTGTTCAAATGAAGGGTCTCGCCTTCCTCCAAGGGGAGATAATTACAAAATAGTGAATAATTAATGGCATCATTGAAAAATCTTCCTCTCAAGAACCAATGGGCCAGGAAAGATGAAACTCATTTAGAATCATTGTCAGGTACTGTAGATTCAAGTTTGTTCAAATCATGACCCCCCGGGGGTAGGGTGGGGCCACAGTGGACGATCAAAGTTTAACATAGGAATATATAGGAAAAATAATTAAATATCTTCTTCTCAAGAACAGCAAAGCATTGATTGGTAATATTTATATATAAGCATCCTCAGGTGGTGTAGATTCAAATTTGTATATAGGAAAAATCTTTAAAATTATTCTTCTCAAGACCTTCAAAGCCATGATTGGTCATATTTATATGAAAGCATCTTCAGGTGGTGTAGAATCAAGTTGTTCAAATCATGACCCCCGGGGGTAGGGTGGGGCTACAATGGACGATCAAAGTTTAACATAGAAGTATATAGGAAAAATCTTAAAAAATTCTTCTTCTCAAGAACAGCAAAGCCATGATTGGTCATATTTATGTGAAAACATCCTCAGATGGTGTAGAATCAAGTTTGTTCAAATCATGACCCCCAGGGGTAGGGTGGGGTTACAATGGATGATCAAAGTTTAACACAGGAATATATAGGAAAAATCTTTAAAAATCTTCTTCTCCAGAACAGCAAAGCCAATTTAAGCCATGATTGGTCATATTTATATGGAAGCACCTGCAGAAGGTGTAGATCAAATTTTTTTTTAAAATCATGACCCCTGGGGGTAGGGTGGGGCCACAATTGATCAAAGTTTAACATAGGAGTATATATTAGGAAAAATCTCAAAAATTCTTCTCAAGAACAGCAAAGCCATGATTGGTCATATTTATCTGAAAGCACCCTCAGGTGGTGTAGATTCAAGTTTGTTCAAATCATGACCCCCAAGGGCTAGGGTGGGGCCACAGTGGACGATCAAAGTTCTACATAGGAATACATAGGAAAAAGCTTTTCAAAATTAAACTGATTTTTGCTTTTTTCCTAGCCACAGTGCTCAGGTGAGCGATGTGGCCCCAGGGCCTCTTGTTACGAGTTGTAGGAACATGTAGAAAACTTACCAACACTGAAACTGATGATGTAATATGCAAGAAATTTAAGGAATTCCCCTACTAGACGTACCCGTACATATATGAATTCTCAACCTCTCTTTTATCAATGCTGTCTACTCCAGTTAACCTATGACCTTTTACACAGCAACAGGGAAATGAATGATATTAACTTCTGATGTAGATAATTTATCTTAACTATAAATTGGGTACATTTCCTGTAAGCATGAATTAGGATGCAGAAAATTTGATGTAAAAAAATTAAAAAAAAAATCCATGGAAATTACTTAAAAAACTCACCTGTTGATTATAATGTAATATGTAAGTATTGACTATTAGTTACGAGTTATCAATATGACATCATGTCATGACATTTTTGTACTACCAAGGAAATTTAAGAATCAATGAAATAAAGAAAGGTACATATTTATTTTTGAGCAACCATGTCATAAAATACACAAAGTACATGTATTGTCTTTGCCATGCAAATGTCATGACCTGTTCACATGGAGAGTTTAATTCGCAGTAAATTAATGCGAAGTAAAATGATGCGAATTAAACCAATGCGAATTAAATTGTGTTCACACGACAGCTAATGCGAAGTAAACTTATAATTATAATTTTACTTTTACAACAAGGCTATTCAGTGAGGCTATTATGATGTCATTTACAAATCACCTTATATTGTGCAGAGCAGATATACATTTGACATAATGTCATAGTGTCTGTACACATTTTAGTGATTAACTTAATTTTCCTTTGTTTTCCACTCAAAAATAGCACAAGTACCTATATTTGACCATCGACATGTGACCTGTGACTTATTTCTGCCTTTACGCATGCGTCAAAATTTAATTTGAATTAGCTTCACTTAGCATTCACATGGAGCTAATGTGAAGTAATTTAATGCACAGTAAACTAATTCAAATTAAACTAATTCGAATTATATTCTCTGTGTGAACACGGATAAAATTTAATTCGCAGTAACTTATGTTTAATTCGAATTAAACTCTCCGTGTGAACAGGGCGTCACTTTTAGTTTATTGTGTGAGTTACAGCTTGTAATATACAGGCAAAGTCAATATAAAATGACACAGTCCTGAATCATTTATAAAGAAAATATACACATTGAAACATGATGTAAAGTGTAAAAATCTTGTTCCATACCATGATTTTGTAAAAATTTTGAAGATCATACTTGCCTCAGGGTTGATTATGACCAAGAACAAATGTCATTTAGAAAGGTCAAGGCCACAGGTTTTAGAAGTGTAACTTGTCAGAAAGGTAAAATTCTAAAAGTATCAGGCAGTCATAGTTGGCACAAAGATTGCTTGTGACCAAGAGGTCTGTCATGTTTAGGGTCATTTGGCTCAGAAATGTTCTTAGGGTCATGGCTATTTAATGGTAGGACTGTGGAAGGTCGCACTTTCATACTGGAATTAAAGGTTGTCCACAATAGTGTTATATGCATAAACTTCCACAAATTATATTTTTTAACAAAATGACAGGCCACAGGAATTTGCAGTATAACTTTTGCAAGATGGCAGAGTTGTTATTTAAGCTATTTTAAAGTATGCCCTCTATGTAATTGCTCTGAAGAGGGCATTTGTCCCATTAGGACAGTCTAGTTTTTATGAAAAGATTAATCTGAATTCATCTTAAAATGTGTATACTTATGTACATGTAGTTAAATTTTTCCAGATGATCATTAAAAAAAATCAAGCTCATCAATTTTTCACCAGTTATTAATTAGTGCACTGTTGCTTTTTAACACCAGCACAAAAGTATTTAGAGGAATATTAAGATAAATATATATTATTTGCCTAAAAATGTTTGTGGTCCCAATGAATTTTCCTTGTCTTACTGCAGCACCTTGGCCCCAGATGAAATTTGCAGATCCTGTTCTTACAGAAGTCACAGGGGGGATAAAGAGGAACCAAAATGGAGAGATCCTCCAGGGGGACAGAAGTACTATCCCTGCCACAATATTGCACCAAGTGCTTACACGTAAGACTTTAAAATTTGGTGGCACAAAAAATATTGTGATAAGACAAATAGACATTGACAATTAGGAAACTGATACCTGGATCTGATAAAAGATTATTTTTAAAATGATACTGTTAATTATATGGTAATATGTGTTAAGTAATATGAGATGGTCATGAATTTAAAGGAAGGTTTTTTTTTGCAGTCCTGTAATTATCTCCAGTCATCATAAGTTTGGATTTGAAGAAGAGAGCGTCCCAACAGAACGTGTTATTCAGCCCATGCAGTGGGGGCTAGTTCCATCGTGGCACAAGGGCTCCCCTAAAAAAGTTAGCTATGAAACTAATAATTGTCGATCAGAGAGCATGATGGAAAAACCTACCTACAAGGTTCCTTTACAGAAAGGTCGTCGCTGTGTGGTATTGGCAGATGGGTAAGGTTTCATGGATTATGATAGGAACAAGAATAAAGATTGTGTAATATCAACATCTGTTAGCTCACCTGAGCTGAAGGCTCAAGTGAGCTTTTCTGATTTTTTCTCAGTTTCATCTTCTCCAGAACCACAGGACCAATTCAACTAAACTTTGCACAGATTATCGTTAGATGAAGGGGATCAAGTTTGTTCAGATAAAGGGGCTCAACCTCTTTATAGGGGAGATAATCAAGGAAAGGCAAAAATATGATTGGTGTCATAAAAAAAAAAATCGTCTTCGCAAGAACCATTGAGCTGAACAAAAGATAAAACTTAAGTGAAAGCTTCCTGACATAGTGTAGATTCAAATTTGTTCAAACCATGGCCTCTTGGATAAGGGTGGGGCCACAATAGGGAATCAGATTTTTATTACATGGGAATATAAAGGAAATTTCTTTAAAAATCTTCGCAAGTTAGATAGGAATATTGATTTTTTATATTAATGTGCAAGCATCCCAAGATAGTGCTAATTCATGTTTGTTCATATCATGGCCCCGGGGTAGGGTGGGGCCACAACAGGGGATCAAAGTTTTATATGGGAATATATTGGAAAAAATGTTTTTAACTCATCTTCCAAAGAACAGCTGGATGATAATTATGTTAATATGCAAGCATTCCCAGGTGTTGCAGATTCAAATGTGTTCAAATCATGGCCCCTTGGGGAAGGACAGGTAGGTGACCGTATTTTTACTTTGGAATGTATAGGCCTCAGAAATTTTTATAAAAAAAATCTTGTCCTGTAGAATAGAGGACCATGATTAGTGATACTAAAATGCAGATGTCCTCGTAGTGCAGATTCTAGTTTGTCGTAAACATGGTCCTCGGAAATAAATTTGGCCACAATAGGGTCTCAAAGTTTTATTTTGGAATGTATTTGGAAAAAAAATCTTAAAAGAAGAGCAGGGTCTTGATATTAAGTCATATTACCACACAATGATTCTTAAGTTTTTAGATTTAAGATTGTTCAGATCATGGCCTCCAGGGGTAGGGTGACACCATAATAGATGTCAATGTTGAACAGTTGGGAATATTATATGTAGGGAAAAACCTTACAAAATCTTCTTCTCATGAACAATTGTGCCATAATTAGTGGTAAGCAAACATTGTCAGATAGTGTAGATTCAAGTTTTTGACCCCAGACTAACAGTCACTTTGAACATTTTTTTTTTGGTTACAAAGGTTTTTTGAGTGGAAGAGGGATCAAGCAAAAAAACAGCCATACTATATCCATTTTCCTGAGAGTAATATGCCAGGTAATGCTAATCTCCCTAAAGTAAAGAAAGAGGAGACAGATGAAAATGGAACTGTAGTTAAACATGAATTAGGTACAACAGGAGACATGAAGGAAAAAGACATTAAAGAAGAGAAAGTAAAAGTAAAACAGGAAATGGGAACTGAGGAGGACATGTCAGGAACAGGTGCTCTACAGACAGAGTCTGTAAAACCAGATATTAAATCAGAAACAAATGGCTGTGACAAAATAAAAGAAGGTTAGCGTCTGATTTTTAGCTCACCTGAGCTGAAAGCTCAAGTGAGCTTTTCTGATCACCCGTCGTCCGTCCGTCTGTCCGTCCGTCCGTCTGTAAACTTTTCACATTTTCAACTTCTTCTCAAGAACCACTGGGCCAATTTTAACCAAATCTGGTACAAAGCATCCTTGAGTAAAGGGGAGTTTAAATTCTTAAAATAAAGGGCCAAGCCCCCTTACAAGGGGAGATAATCAAGAAAAGACAAAAATAGGGTGGGGTCATTAAAAAATCTTCTTCTCAAGAACCACTGGGCCAGAAAAGCTGAAACTTATGTGGAAGCATGCTGGGGTAGTGTAGATTCTAAATTGTTAAAATCATGACCCCCTGGGGAAGGGCGGGGCCACAATAGGGAATCCAAGTTTTACATTGAAATATATAGAAAAAATCTTTAAAAATCTTCTTCTCAAGAACCACTGGGCCAGAAAAGCTGAAACTTATGTGAAAGCATGCTGGGGTAGTGTTTATTCTCAATTGTTAAAATCATGACCCCCGGGAGAAGAGTGGGGCCACAATAGGGAATCCAAGTTTTACATTGAAATATATAGAAAAAATCTTCTTCTCAAGAACCACCTGGCCAGAAAAGCTGAAACTTTTGTGGAAGCATGCTGGGGTAGTGTAGATTCTAAATTGTTAAAATCATGACCCCCGGGGGAAGGGTGGGGCCACAATAGGGAATCCAAGTTTTACATTGAAATACATAGAAAATTTTTTTAAAAATCTTCTTCTCAAGAACCATTGGGCCAGAAAAGCTGAAACTTATGTGGAAGCATCCTTGGGTAGTGAAGATTCTAAATTGTTAAAATCATGACCCCTGGGGGCAGGGCACGGCCACAATAGGGAATCCAATTTTTATATTGAAATATATAGAAAAAAAATCTTTTTCTCAAGAACCACTTGGTCAGGAAAGCTAACATCCTGGGGCAGCGTAAATTCTAAACTATTCAAATCTTGACCCCTGGGGGTAGGGCGGGCCACAATAGGGAATCCAAGTTTTACATTGAAATATATAGGAAAAATCTTTAAAAATTTTCTCCTCAAGAACCTCTTGGCCAGTAAAGCTGAAACTTATATGGAAACATTCTGGGGTAGTATAGATTTTAAATTGTTAAAATCATGACCCCCATGGGTAGGGCGGGGCCACAATAGGTATTACAAAAAGATCGTCTGGTGAAGAACAGCAGGGCCAAAGTTATTCAGGTGAGCGTTGTGGCCCATGGGCCTTTTGTTAGCTCACCTGAGCTGAAAGCTCAAGTGAGCTTTTCTGATCACATTTTGTCCATCGTCCATCTGTCTAGCTGTCTGTTTGTCCGTCTGTAAACTTTTCACATTTTCGACTTCTTCTCCAGTACCACTGGGCCAAATTCAACCAAACTGGCCACAAAGCATCCTTGGGTAAAGGGGATTCAAGTTTGTTCAAATGAACGGTGGAGATAATTAAGAATTAGTGAAAATTTGGTGTTATCTTTTAAAAATCTTCTCAACAACCACTGGGCTGAAAAAGTTGAAACTTAAGTGAAACTTTTATTAGGTAGTGTAGATTCAAGTTTGTTCAAATCATGACCCCGGGGGGTAGGGTGGGGCCAGAATGGGGGATCAAAGTTTAAGATAGGAATATATAGAAAAAAAATCTTTAAAAATCTTCTTCTCAAGAACAACAAAGCCACAATTAATCATATTGATGTGGAATCAACCTCAGGTAGTGTAGATTCAAATTTGTTCAAATCATGACCCCTGGGGGTAGGGTGAGGCCACAATGGGGGATCAAAGTTTTACATAGGAATATGTTGTAAAAAATCTTTAAAAATCTTCTCAAGAACAACATAGCCACAATTAGTCATATTGATGTTGAATCATCCTCAGGTAGTGTAGATTCAAGTTTGTTCAAATCATGACCCCCTGGGGTAGGGATGGGCCACAATGGGGGATCAAAGTTTTACATAGAAATATATAGAAAACAAATGTTTAAAAATCTTTTCTTCAAGAACAACAAAGCCACAATTAGTTATATTGACATGGAATCATCCTCAGGTAGTGTAGATTCAAGTTTTACAAATACATGTATATAGAAAAAAAATGTTTAAAAATCTTTTCTTCAAGAACAACAAAGCCACAATTAGTCATATTGACATGGAATCAGGTAGTGTAGATTCAAGTTTGTTCTGATTGTGACCTCCGGGGGTAGGGGTGGGGCCACAATGGGGGATCAAAGTTCTGCATAGGAATGTATAGGAAAATCTTTAAAAATCTTTTTCTCGAAAACAACAAAGCCACAATTTTTCATATTGATAATGAATCATCCTCAGGTATTGTAGATTCAAGTTTGTACAAATCATGACCCCCGGGGGGTAGAGTGGGGCCACAATGGGGGATGAAAGTTTAAGATAGGAATATATAGAAAAAAAATCTTTAAAAATCTTCTTCTGAAGAACAACAAAGCCATGATTAGTCATCTTAATATGGAAGCATCCACAGGTAGTGTAGATTCAAGTTTGTTCAAATCATGACTCCTGGGGGGTAGGGTGAGGCCACAATGGGGGATCAAAGTTTACATAGGAATTTATAGAAAAAAAATCTTTAAAAATTTTCTTCTCAAGAACAACAAAGCCACAATTAGTCATATTAAGGAAGAGATTGCAAGGGTCCATGAAAAAAATCCGCTCTATGAATTTTTCTCATTTTTACATATTATTTGCCTTACGTTAATGGTAACATAATATGAAAATGTCAACCATGGTCATCAGGGTTATAAGGAAGATATGGTTGCCATGGTAACGACCGTTTTTCAATAATTTGATATTTATGTAGTGAAATTAGAAGTATGCCATACAGGTATCAAAATTGAAACAAATTAAATAATTTTCACCAGATATTAAATAATATGCTTTATATTCATTGAAAATAAAAATTGTATCGGAAACTATTGATAGATGTAGTAATGCCACAGTTGCTTTGGGGAGTAGTCATTGTAAATTTGCAGTAATATTTTCACCCCAAGAGCAGTTTTCAAGGTCTTGACAAAAAATTGCCCAATGAATTTTCCTAAAATTAATATATTTTGTAACAATTATTATAAGTGACTTATGGTTAAAATATGAAGTGGGGTCATCACATTCTTTTTTAAGCTACATGCATTTCAATACCCCCCCCCTTTCCTAAAATATTAAAAGATTTCATAAATTTTAATCTGATGGTTTGTTGCTGAACCTTTAATATGCATAATCTGTTTTAAGACTGTAGAAAATATGTATGGATTAATAAATATTTGTTCCTGAAAATCTTGTGGTGCTTGCTCATTTTATACGTAGAGCAGAATGATAAAAGTATCATGTACACAAAAAACAACAATATGCATATTTTTTTAATTTTCCCATCTCCAAAATATTCATTCCCTTATTATATTGATATAAATATATTAATTTAAATATATACATTCTAAACCAGTGTACTGTGGTCCAAGGGCCAAATTGTTCATGCTCTGAACATTCGTCGAGTTCTCTGCACTGTGACTTGGAATCGGAAAGGGGGGGGGGGGGGGGAGTCACTTGAACACATTGAATGAATATGTTATTTCAGAGAACTTGTACCTGCAATAAATACCGTATATAAAAATCCTAGCTATTATCTTATTTGACAAATTTTAGTGATTCACTATTTAATATTTACATTTGCGAATACTTTTCCTTCAGATTCGTTGCAAGTTAGAAAACAATTCATTTGGTAAGCCTACATATCTCCATTGTGACGTCATAATGCCACACTTGACGTCAAAACTATAGTGCACACTGTTATGTTTTAAAAAATAATTGTTGAATGACATTCATAAATTTGCGCTTCATGCTCACGCGGTTCATGATATATGTTGAGGTGAAGTGTCTTTGTTCATGTCCTCCTGAATTTCAAAAAATTAAATTCATTTTTCAAATATATTCCCATGAGCATGATGAGTTGAAATGTTTTTTTTAAAATGTATATGCTCAAAATAATTTTCTCTCTCTGGTATACCTGGTACCTCCGTAGTACCTCGATTGTCAGAATTAACCTCTCTTAGTTTTGTTTGTCATTCTTACACGCGGTTTTTTTTTTTTTTTTTTTTTTGCTAGATTTGTGAAAACTTGCAAAAAGAAACTTTTCTTTTCTGTCAGAAGAATTGTGTTAAGTTTCAATTTTTTACCAAATACGACGCATAAAACATTTTACCGCAACAGATGTTTACGCAATATATGTGCCGACGATTCAATGTTTACATGGTAGATGTAAGAGTTGAAAATGCTAGAGAAGATCGTATACAGAGGAAAACAATTTCCTCTGCGATATTTTTAAAACTACGTTCATGTACAGCATGCGACCTCAAACAGGTCTATACACGTATATATGAAAATCGCATTCGTTTATCTGTTCATCCATATAGGCCTATATTCATTATAATCACTGAGAAAATCACGCCGTCTGAAGCTTCTAGGAAATGAATATCTATTCATAGATGTAGATCCTATAGTAAAGAAACCAATCTCAAATAAAATTCTTATATTTTGAATAAAACTAGAGGACATGAAGATCCAGATATGAATTAAATTTATTCATGAAATAGATAACAGTGCTAGAATTACGACAAAAGGTAGACGTGTCAAAACGAAAAAAAAAACACAGGGATAAAAAAAAATCTGCGTCGACGCTCGCCAACACTCTGCAAAATCACATCTTTATGTTATTCTTTCTCTGTTTTAAAAATATTGCCTTTTGTCATGGGTGTAATCATAATCACGCTCTTTATTCAGCTGTTATTCCGGAAATGGTTACCGTAAATCTTCTTTTTTTAAACATCACATGAGTCGATCACATGACGCCTTGCAATCGCTTCCTTAATATGAAATCATCCTCGGGTAGTGTAGATTCAAGTTTGTTCAAGGCATCCTCCAGTAGTAGGGTGAGGCCATAATGGGGGATCAAAGTTTTACAAAGAACATATACACGTATAGGAAATATCTTTAAAAATTTTATTCTCAAGAACAACAAAGCCATGATTAGTCATATTGATATGGAAGCATCCTCAGGTAGTGTAGATTCAAGTTTGTTCAAATCAGGAACAACCCTCCTTCCCCCCGGCTTAATTCCGTTTTCAAGAACAGCAAAGCCATGCATGATTATATGAATATAGAAGCATCCTCAGAAAATTTAGATTCAGTTTCATTCAAAAGATGGCACCTGAGGGTAGCGCATCCTAGAACAGGCGATTAAAGCCTTATATATGAATATATAGGAGAAGAAATCTGCTGACGAAGAACAGCAGAGCCATATTGACTCAGATGAGCATTGTGGCCCATGAGCCTCTTGTTTCATTTATTGTGCTTGTAACATATTTATATCATTCTGAGCATGCATCTTGCAAGAAAAAGGTAACAGTGACTTTTCTACACCCAATTTAGGTCCGAATATCGGCCCTTTCCCCTCTCAAAAATTACAGATTTTCCCCCAATTTTTCAGTTGCTTTTTTCCCAAAATAAATAACGCTGTTGTTTTTAATATATTGAGATTTTTATGTACGACTTATCTAAAATGGAATGCTATCGTTCTCTGTCATTCAAACTCTTAAATTAATGGTGAGGAATAGCAGAATATTTTGTGCATTTACAAGACAGAAATAAAATTTTTGTGTACCGGGGTAAATACATCCTAAGATGCATGTGAACTGATGAAACATAGCTTTATTTGTAAATCAAACTACTAGTAGTTCTACAACATACATCCCTGATTCCATGAAAATCAAACTGTTTCTACATCCGGCAGATGCAACTAGCATTGCAGAGAAATTGCGGAATGTGATTAGGGTAATTTATAAAGCTTTGATAATTTGTTAGAAAAATAAATTATTTGTAATAAATCATGTCAGGTTATCCTATATTCAATGGCTATTTCAGGGATTTTCTCTTATATCTACTATTATGGCAAAAAAAAAAATTTTAAATATAGGACGGTCACATTTACGGTATTGAAAACTTTCAAAAATTAAAAAAAAGTTTAAAATGTAGAACTGTGCCTAATTTGTTATTTTGTGGCAAATAAATTGAATAAATGATGTAACATTTACTTACATATTTCATTTTACCATTCAATTAAGGTTAATTAAAATTTTATTGGTTTTCCCAATTTGACACAAATGTCGATGATTTTTCCCAATTATAAAGGCCCAGGCCCCTTTTAAAAATTGTAGAAAAATCACTGCGGTAAGAAAGAATTTCAGTTCTGGTTCAGGTTTTGGCTGCAAATTGGTGTTAATTCAGTCATAATATTAAAATCCTCATACTTGAGACATTTGAGGAGAAGGCATTGTCATTTCAGGATAGTGGTTTGAAAAATGGTAAGATATATTTATTATGAATTATGAAATTCATGACCAATGGGTTAAGGGTTCAGATTCTAGATTGGGGCTAAGTTAGTTGTGCAATTTTCTACCCATGGTTGTAGCAAAAATACTGATTCAATAGAATTAAGACCCCGTGGAAAAAAACGTGTTTACAGTAAAATAAAGGATTGCTGAACACGAGTATTATTCATCCAATGAATGTAACATGATTTTTTTAGAAGGAGGGACAACCAAGAGACTAATGACAATGGCTGGTGTATTTGATGTGTGGAAACCCAGTGGTGTAAGTTTTCATCTTCATTACATTTAGTACCTCTGTATGACCTTTTAAGTATGTCTACCAGACAAGTCTTTCTGTAGATGTATTAAACTTTGTAGATTTTTTATTGGGACCTTATTGTAGAGTTACTTGTGTGTATGTCTATGTACATATAAACATATATCCTCTGAAAACACCACTAAAGTCTTGTATTTTTAGCTCTGTACAGTATCTGATGGAAATTTGGCCTGACATTTGCTAATCTTCATGCTTCCATAATAGGCATTTAAAACATGGTCAGCATAAGTTGTCCTCACTGGGGCCTTATGGATGAGGCTAAAACCATCAAAATTAGTGTTATCTTAAAAAAAATTCTTCTTTACTCTTGGATGTCAAGCAGTCAAACTGTTGGCATGATTGTAATAAGCTTTGCATGAGCCTTCTACCAAAATTATAAAATTCATAGCCCAAGGGTCAGGGATTCTGAAGTTAAAGTGGGGCTCTAATGATCATGTAGTGAAAATGCATAAATTCTATAAAAATCTTTCTCTCTCCCACTGTAAATAAAGCAAATAAACTAGGTGCATGGTTATAATGATCAAGGGTGCCTCTTCCAAAATTGTGAAATTTGTGGCCCCAGTCGAGAGTTTCTGCAGGATTGATTCTACATTGATTATATAA